TGATAGATGTTGGATAGGGAAAGAGGAGCAAACCATACCAGAGCACCCACCAATCACCCCCATTGCTTTGTCTTATCAATATCGAGATTGTTATCCTATCAGTGTCATTATCTTAGTCTTATCAGTTTCATTATCTTTGTCTTATCAATATCAGGATTCTGTCTTATCAAATATCAAGATCTTTGTCTTTTTCAACATTATCATCTTTGTATAGTCAATATCATTATTTTTGTATAATCAATATCATTATCTTTGTCTTATCAATATCATGACCTTTGTTGTTTTTTTATCGAGATCTTTGTTTTATTAACATAAGGATTTCTGTCTAATCAATATCGAAATCTCTATTTTATCAATTTCTTTACCTTTGTCTTATCAATATCATGACTTTGGGGTTTTTTTTATATCGAGGTCTTTGTTTTATCAATATCATTATCTTTGTTTTATCAATATCGAGATCTCAATTTTATCAATATCACGATCATGGTCCTTTATATCATCTAGATTTTTTGTTTTATCAATGTCATAACCTTTGTCTAATCAGTATCATGATCTTTGTATAATCACTATGGAGACCTTTGTCTTATCAATATCATGAGGGGGCTCTCGTGGCCTAGAGATTAAGATGTTCGCCTCTCATCCAAAGGTTCCGGGTTTGAATCCCAGTAATGACGGAAACATTTTCTTCTCCAAAATAGTCTCCTTTCACTCCTTTTCCTGCTCTCTAGCAATGTTCTGTCGTCAGATTTCGTCTCCACTTTCTGCCCCCACCCTCTCACTTCCTTTTCCCCCTCCCCTGGGCTCCTGACTCTTTCTGCAGCCTTTCTACTGCTACTCCTTGGCTCCTTCTTGCTGCTGTCTTTCAGCCACACCCATGTTCTTCTAGTAGGAAAGATCTACACCTATCCTTCTCGGAAAAGGGTAAAAAAATCTTGGGGGTCCCGGGTGCAAGTTGCGCACGTTAAATATTAAGATCTCTTGGTGGTCTGAAATCGATAAGAGTAGGCTTCGGCCGACACCCGGGCAAAAATCAAAATTTCCCACCAACTGAAAATGTTTGGTGTGACCCGCACGTTCATAATATGGCCTTATGCAGTTGCGAACGCCGTAAAACACTTACAAACAAACAAAAATACGATGATCTTTGTCTTAATACATGTAATATCAGTACCTTTTTATCATTACTATCGAGATCTTTGTATTATCAAATATCATGAACTTTGTCTTATCACTATGGATATTTTTTTTGTCTTATCAATAATATCATGACTTTTGTCTTATGAATATCATGATCTTTGTCTTATCAATATCACGATTTTTGTCTTATCAATATCATGATCTTTGTCTTATCAAATATGGTCGCTTTTAAGGACAAGCGGGCAAACCCAGATTTCGGGGATTTCCAGAAATCTTGACCGGCACCAAAAGTGGGCATTGCCTTACCTATAGAAGTTTGGTTTCATTGGTGTGTATATTTGTTTGGTTATAGTGAAAACTCTCCTGGTCTTTTTAAAGAAACTGAGCAAGGAGCAAAAACTTCACCTTCGAATTTCTCAAAACAGCACTTTTCGGGATAGCTCCCTTGTGCTTAAAAGCGACTTTCACGACCTTTGTTTCATCAGTATACCTGAATGTTTCTGACCTTCCCTTCAGGTGCTGGGCTCCTGTACAAGGCAACCAGGGAATGTTTTACAGCACACCATTTGCAACACCACTCACTCTGACTTCGTGCTAGAGATTGTTCCTGATGGCATGGCGCTACGTCCAGGACTCTGGCGGAGAAACGCAGATCCAGGCGACATTCCAAACAATAATAATATAATCGTAATCGACAGATTAAGAAACAGCAACGAGGTCAAGGACGGCAGAGAGAAAAAAGACAGCAGCAGCGGTCGTCGGAAGTTGGTTTTTACGCTCCTATTGAATACTTACTCTCTCTCTCTCTCTCTCTCTCT